CTCAGCTGGCATTAAGATACTTTCAGCTGGCATTAAGCTACTCTCAGCTGGCATTAAGCTACTTTCAGCTGGCATTAAGCTACTCTCAGCTGGCATTAAGCTACTTTCAGCTGGCATTAAGCCACTCTCAGCTGGCATTAAGCTACTTTCAGCTGGCATTAAGCTACTCTCAGCTGGCATTAAGCTACTCTCAGCTGGCATTAAGCTACTCTCAGCTGGCATTAAGCTACTCTCAGCTGGCATTAAGCTACTCTCAGCTGATGTGTCTCACCTCCTGCTGATGGTTGGACAGGGACGTTCTGGTGTTTAAGGACAGCTCGTCCATGCTGCTGATGAGGCGAGGCACAGGTTTGTCCTCCAGCTTTCCTTTCTGCGCTCGGTGGCTGTCGCCCTGCAGCCACAGAGACGTCTGCTTCCTGGAAACAACAAACATTTTAATATTATTCAGTTTACAGATGTTAAACCTGATAAAGCAGCTGAAACTGACCTGCTGAAACCTAAAGAAGCACAACACGAGCTAAAAGCTAAAATAGCAACATGCTAAAATAAAGCTAGTAGTTAGATGTTAGCCAAACTTTAACAGTAACAAAAAGCCAACTAAAATYTTAAAAGAGTAAAAAGCTAGCTACAAGCTAAAACTAGCATAATACATCATGTGACTCACTCTTGCAGGAAGTTCTGCTGCGGGCCGATGACAGAACCGGGCCTGCAGATCCTGATCCAGGCGATGGCCTCGCCGGCTGTGAAACGGTAATGTTTCATCAGGTAGCAGCCAATCAGAGTGCCCGTCCTGCCCAGACCAGCTGATGGAGAGACAGAGATGAGACCAAACACCTGTCAATCTGTGGCACCGCTAACCTGCAGAATGTCTCCCTCTGCTGGACGTTCTGAGAACTACACGTCCCACGTCTGAGGACACTMCTGAAGAGGGACAGGGACATTAAGTCGCTCACCTTTGCAGTGGACAGCTACAGCTCCGGCGGCGTTCTCGCTGATGTACAGGAAGCGGCGAACGATGACGTCGTTGGGCGTGCTGCCATCCACGAAGAAGAGGTCGTAGTGCTCGAAGCCGGCGTTGGTGAAGCGCCGGGCGTCGTAGATCTTCTTGTTCAGGCGGACGACGGTCGTCACGTTGTGTTTCCTGAAGTACGGGAAGTAAGCCTCGGGGGCGTGTAGGGGGTAACCTGAGGGGGGCGGAGCAAACACAAGCTGTCAGAACCTTTTTACATCAGACAGAAGTGTTGAGATGAAACAAACAACAATAAAAACAATAAATAAACTGGATCTTTAGGCTCTCTCTGGCCTGCAGCTGTTTACAAACAAAACATTTTACTTTGTCACGACGACTTCATGGAAAATTTCAAATATGAAGAAAACATTTCTCACTTTCTTGACATCTCTGGAATCTGACCTACATAAGAGCTGAAGGTCAGAACTGCACAAACCTCCAGCTGCATTTCATTTAACTTGAAACAAAGTAGAAAAGAACTGAAGTTTAAACACTTCCTGTTTTTTAATTAATATTTATAGTTTTCTGAGTTGATGTAATAAATAATCTGTGGACAGAATGTGAGAGCAGTGCAGACCGTACTCCGCTGGTTTGACAACAAACTAAAACTAGAAGCCAGTAGAAAAAGGTCAAAYTTTTCCACTCACCGTTTTCCATTTTAGATTTAGGATGGGGTCCGCTGAAGGCCAAGAACTTCCCTGGGACGATCCAGTTCAGGTCTCCATTCTCCACTCGCTAAAAAACGAACAAGAGTTAAAACAAACCTCAGTGATTCAATCTACTAGACTTTTATTTTGAAAACAGGTTTGTTTGTTTCATTACATTTTAAACTAATCATGATGGATCAGAGCGTCTCAGATTTAAACTGAATTACTACAATCATCCTGATGAGGGCGCTGCTCTCCACACTAACAGTTATAATAACCTCACTGCTGCAGAATAAAAACTGTTTGTTTACTATAATAATGAAACAGACTCAGCGGGTCCATAAACGTCCCTGCAGCATCAGATTGTGTGTTTTCCTCACTACAGTCAGATTTTACCTCGTAGTGCTCGTACTCCTCCACATCAAACGTCTCAAAGTCAAAGAAGCCGTGCTGCAGAGCCTGRAACAACAAAATAAAAGACTAACAATAAAATACATTTTAACAGCTTTTATTTCATGAGCCGTCTCCAACTGAGAGGACATGTCTCAGTCCGTCACAGACACACCTGGACAGGTCCCAGTCCGTCACAGACACACCTGGACAGGTCCCAGTCCGTCACAGACACACCTGGACAGGTCCCAGTCCGTCACAGACACACCTGGACATGTCTCAGTCCGTCACAGAAACACCTGGACAGGTCTCAATCAGTCACAGACACACCTGGACATGTCTCAATCTGTCACAGACACACCTGGACATGTCTCAATCTGTCACAGACACACCTGGACA